GTGAGATAAGATGACTGACACAAACGTTTTAGTTGTAAAAACATTCTTTTTCAGTGTTTGGTTGTACTAAAAGACCATCTAAGGCATCAGATTTTCAGGTTTACCAATAAGTACATTTTGTTGTCATTGTTTTAAGCCTGTTTTTCGCTCGCAAAAATTAGCATTAGCCTAGATAACCATAGCTGTAAATGCATCATGCTAACTAAGCAAGTAGCTAGCGTTGGTGTTAGCTCCACCCTCTCGTCCAAATTTGGTTGTTTCTGGCTCCAAAAATCCAAGATGGCAATGGCCAAAATGTCGAACTCAAGGCTTCAAAACGGGAGTTGACAAACAAATGGGTGATGTCACGGTGGCAAAATCAATGCAGCAGAACCAGAGATATCGCCTTTTTTAAATTCAACACATTCCTCTTCCTTGTCAGAAAACTGTCGCCCACATTACCTATAATACAGCTGGACTTCTATCGGATTCAGGTATGTTCATATACTGTATGTAAAGATGGACGACATGACAGCTCCCCAAAAGTGAAGCTGAAACATCACAATCGCCCCCTGGTGGCTGGCTGCAGTATAGGTCTTAAAGATGATTGATACTGTGGAGACTGTGACTGCACAGACTCTGGCTCCAAATGATGTCACCAGTTCCCGGATATTTTAGCTTCACTTCTATAAAGTGGGGATAAGTGGAGACACGTTGCTCATCTTTAAATACAGTCTATGGGTGTGTTATGCTAGTCGCGGCTAATGTACCCTGGAGCCTCTTGTCTACAGCAGAGATGAGAAGTGAGCTACAGAAGTCTCACTTCTTTCTAAATCCATACCTTCCAAATTTCTTTTCATTTTCAAACTTGCAGGCTTCAGCTACGGCTGACTCAAGTGACATCACTCGAGGCAAATTATCAGACTATTCACAGCTCCTTCAGGTGACACTAAAGACCTTGAACTACTTTTTTTAACTCCCAACACCTGTAAACAGACTTTGATTTGTAAAACTAGTTCCCCTTTAAATAGAGTGTAAGGCTAAAGCTAGCAGCTAGTTAGCTTAGCTTAAATTGTAAACGGGGGGAAACTGTTAGTCTAGCTTTGTCCAAAAACAAAATCAGCCTTAATCACGTCTAAATCTCACTGTCTCGTTTGTTTAATCCGTACAAAAACAAAGTGTTAAAACAAGAACTCGCTGTTTCCCCCACGTTTACAGACTTTGTGCTACGCTAAGCTAACCTGCCTGACTAGCTTCATATTAGCCTACAGACATTTGAGAGGTGTCAATCTTCTCATTTAACTCTCTGCAGACAGCAAATAAGCATGTTTCCCAAAGTGTCAAACATCATCTTTAAATGGGGCAGTATGAAATGGGACAGCACACAAAATAATCTGCACTGACCTTCATGATAAAATCACTTTTGTTTAGAATCATAAAGTTAAAGCGCTGTTTGTTTCTGATGAATCTTTAAAGTGGACAGTGCAAAACTATAAAACCATGTCTACACGGATACAGATATTTTAAAAATGGATGTTTTCCTCTGCGTTTTGAGCTCTCGTCCACACGCACAAAGTTTTAGATCACTCAACAGATTTCTTTTAACGCCTTCTGAGGTGCAGCTTTTTCAAAACCCCAGTCGCTTTGTATCCGACTGGAAACGTCATCCCATCAAATTGTGCATGCCTTTTGTGTCTCTGGAATGAGCTCCAGAAACAGCAACAACAACGGACTGCCAGTTTGTAGTCACGTTTCAATTTCCATAGCACCTGCAGGCCGTCTACCAGAGATATGTTAATAAATTAGGCGTGAAGTATGTTGAAATAAAGAAATATTTAGCTACTGCTGTTTTACTATTGTTTGATTTGTTAGTACCGCTAAGCTCGCTCTGCATGCTCATGTCTTCTTCTCTGGTATTTAATGTATTGTTTAAGTATCGCCACCTACTGGCCACAGCAAGTGTTTGGAGTCGTTTCTGCGTTCTAGTGTGGACAGAGATATTTTAAAAAACGGAGGTCATGTGGACATTACTTTTAACAAGGAAGGGGAAAAATATCTCGTCAATTTGTGCATGTCTATCGTTGATTTTTGCAGTGAGTATGCGCCAGAAACAACAATGGCAGACTATCTGTTTGTTACGTATTGTTAGCACTAGCACTGCTAGGTCTAATGACTGGTTTACAACTTTTATGCCGAATTTCCACAGCATGCTACGGCTCGGCTTGACTCGACTCAACTCCTTCTGAGCTGGCGACCTTTGTGTTCTAGTGTGGATGGGGATATTTTTTAAAAGCTTGTGCTGACAATAAATTATCTGTATAAATGTAGACAGGCCAGTAGTTCGTAGAGGCTTCCAAAGTTTCAATCTGGGTAGTTTTCATTCTGTAACATGAGGCAGATGAATTTCAAAAGCCCACCTATACTACAGTAGTCCTAGTTCAGACTATACACTTTTACATCAGTGCTAGCTTATGTCCCTGTAGGAATATCACTGGTTAGTTTAAGATCAGACAATAAATAACAAAATGCAACGACTTCATCGTCAACTACAACAAATCCTCTGTGACTCTCAGTGGCGTTATACGAGGACACCAACCTGTATGCTGATCTAAGGAAAAAAAGTCGTTAATACACAAGAGTTCAGACGAAACAAAAGAATCTGATCACGAGGTCCATTTGACAGCAGCTCCGGAGCTTTTGGTCAAGGTGCCACGCTGTCATGTAAATGTAGTTTAACTTAAAATCTCAAGTCCTTAAAGTGCTCAGATTTCAGGTTTAGGTTTTTAGAAGATTACGACAACTGAAAAAAACATAATTAGGATGAAAGCTCCTTGACTGTTAAATGGACCTTAAGTCGTGAAATTATTTTGTTAGACAAAAAAGAAATGTTGTAAAGCCACTTAATATAAAAAATAAAAGTAAACAATTAAACTGCCCCTTTAAGTCAAAGTCGCCACCTAATGAATTTTATCTCCAGTCTTCACTTGCACCCAGTGGTTTTCATGATGGAGTGACACAGGAGTTAACTCTTTCAACTGCATCCACTGAGGAGCACAGTGAGAGTAACCTTTGAAGCCACTTTTACCAACGTCAAGACTGAACTTCACTCATGTTACAAAGTGTTATTAGTTTTCCATAGATTAACATATAAGTTGGTTACGATGGAATATAAGGGCCACGACAATAGTCAGATAATTAATAAAAAGTCATATTTTTCCTTTATCAAATACAATCATCAATGAAGATGTAATATTTCAAGAAAAGTCAGTATATTCTCTTGTGAGAATTAAGTCCTGATATTATGAGAATAACTGTAAATAATTTTTCAAGAAAAAATTGTAAAAAATGTCAGAAAAAGAGTCTTAATGTTTAGAGAATAAAACTGTTATCAAGAATAGTCATATTATTATTAGCCCAGAATGATGTAAAATACTTAAAGAATAAAGTTTTACTATTTTGAGAATTATTTTTTGGAAATATTTCAAGAATTTTTATTTTGAGAAAATGTTGCACTATTTCGAAAAAATAAAGTTGTAAGTCAAAATATTTTGAATATGAGTAATAATATTGGAGAATTAAGTTTTAATATTCAGAAAACAATGTTGTGATATTTGGAGAAAAGTTAGAATTATAATATGATTAAAGAGCACAGTCATAGTATGAACAGTAAGTAAAGACAGTAACAGTACAGTTTATATGGACTGTCAGGAAATGCTAAAACATTTAAACATTTAAGAGTTTATTTCCCATGAAGTGACTTGACTTAATACTGAAATATTTTATTCTATCACTTAAGTTTGCCAACGTGGTCTCAAAAGCCTGGAAAAGAAAGCAAGATGAAGTATTTAGCACTGACATCAATTTCTACGTCTACTTGATACTAAATGTTTCCATCAGTCATTCATTTTGTTGTAGGTAATAAAAGTCTGAAGATTTCACTGTGAAAGTCGTTTAACTGTTTTGTAATTTTTAAAAATCATTAAATTTTTTTCTCTTCACTTCTTGCTTTTAACGTACGTTTTCTCTTGAAATACTATAAATTGTATTTCTTATAATATCACAAGTTTTTGGGTTTTGTCTTGAAATATTATGCCTTTAATTTCTTCAAATATTTAACCTTTTGCCTGTAAACTGTATGTTTTCTCTTGACATTTTATTAATTTTATTTCTGATACTATAACTTTTTTTTTCTCTAAACGGTACGTTTTGTCTTAAAACATTATGACTTTAAGTTCTTAAAATATTCCAACTTTTTTCCTCTTATCTGTTTTCTCTCAAAATTTTATGACTATTATTTCTTAAAATATTACAACTTTTGTCTTCTAAACTGTACATTTTCTCTAAAATTCTTATAATTTTTATTTCTTAAAGTATTACAACCTTTCACCTCTTAACTGTAAGCTTTGTCTTGAAATTTTACAACTTTTATTTCTTAAAATATTACACCTTTTTTCCCTCTGAATGTTGCATTTCCTCTTAAAATATTAAGACTTTTTCTCAAAAAATTCCACCTTTTTCTAACAATATTACATTTTATTTCCTCAAATCTGACATGAATTTGTTTCCCTGTGTGACCCTGATACTCCGTCATAGGTTGATATGCTGGAGGATGATTTGTAAAATATCACTAAACATTAAAAAATTAGTAAAAGGTTTGACATGGCAGTATCACTCTCTGATTGGTGTGCAGCCTTACAGACTTGAGGAATGTAGAGTCGGAGAGGTGCTTCTTCATTTTCCCTTCAGTTTGAACTGTGCTTCATTAAGTTGCATCGTTTTTCGCTAAATAACAAAAAAGCCCATAAAAACAACACTTATTCTTATTTTAGAAACAAACTTAAATGCAAAACAACACGATAAAAACGACGAAGTGCAGAGGACGGATTCCTTTTTGTTATAAACATCAATATTGCACCAAAGCAGCATATTTGGACGAGCATTCTGCATTACAGTTTACCTTTAGAGAAAGGATTTAGATCAGGACGGTGGCTACCAGTGATATGCATAAATACAGTATAAAAATACAATATGGAAAAATCTGAAGGGGATTTAGTCGGGCTGTGTCGTGGGAGAGTAAGAGGTGAGCTGGGTTTAAGAGGAAAGGGAAGGAAATGCAGGTAAAGAGTTTTTTGGAGCTACTAGAAGGTCTGATCATCGTTGCAGGACTCCGTGGCGTGTCCGAAGGCCTCGCAGATGTCGCAATAGGGCCTCTCGTCCGCCGGGTTGCCGTGATAGGTGGTGTGAGGTACCGAGTCGGGGCTCTGGGCCTGAGTGGGACAGTCCTCTGTGTCGTGAAGGTCGAAGCAGTCGCAGATGTCGCAGAACAGACGCGGCGTCGCCTTCTTTTCCCGCTTTGACACACCTTCAACAAACCTGTGTGACGGAGACAACAGTGTGTGACTTATCTCCTTCTTCCACTAGCGCACTAAATGAGGATGAATCCGCCACTGAAAATAGTCCCCAACAAGTACACTATTATCTCGGTTAATGGATTTAAAACTATGTCTTACCCATCCGTGCCGTCGTTGCCGTTGAACTCAGCCAGAGCAAGCTTCTTCAGTTTGATCTTCAGCTCCTCATTCTTCCTCTGCAGGTCCACGATCACACTGTTCAGGAAGTTGATCTGAGGGACACAAATCGAGACACAGATCACCTTCATGTGGGCACAGATCAGAAGTGAGAACTGGGTTGATAACATCCTGACAGTCTTACCTGCCCCTCAGCGAACTCCTTCTCCTCCCTCAGCTGCTCCAGGGCCGCGTCGCCTGCAGAAGAAACCAGGAAACAGGTTGACAAAAAGAAATATCACCTCACCCAAACAGTGGGCGCTCTAACTGTCGTCTCCTCACCTGACGGTGGAGCTTCCCTGTCTTCCTCCTCCGAGGCCTGCGTTCCCACGAGCCTTTGCTCTAGACTGTGAACACGGCTCTGCAGCTGAGCTTTGTCTCTCTCCAACGTCTCCACGGCCGTCTGCAGCGTCTTGGCCATGGCGTTTTCTCCCCGTAGCACCGCGATCTGCAGCGATGGAGCACACACATGAATCCTCACACAGCTCAGAGAACACAGAGTGAAGTTTTACAGACATGATGTGACAGTCACGTGTGAGTACCTCATTCCTCAGCGTCTCCAGCTCCCGGTCTTTGTCTGAGAATAAGGCTCCAGTGGACTTCTGAAAGTTTATTTCGCCCTCCGTCTCCTGATTAGAGATCGTTTCTCTGTAGAAACATGGAGAGAGTTACAGTCACAAAGTGTGGGCATTATGATAGTATATCTTCTTCTTGAACCAACACAAGAAGACGGCGGGTCGATCTTCTCTCCCTACTTCCCCTCATCCAAAGCAAGCACTCTACCTCCACAGGGTACCTCTAATAAATGCATGTAAATATAAAGCTTTTTACATTTTGTTGAGCCTGACTTCACTGGAAAATTGTATTCAGGTTCCAACATCAGTACAAATCTAACACATAAATAATGCTGGATTTTTTTATCAACACTAATAAAACAGTGAGAAACCAAGAATTCAATATCAATTCATCACCAAAAATCATCTTCTCTGCAGCTCAGTGAATTAATAGAGCTTCAGATTTTAACCACCTGCCTCCAAAACCAATCGTGACAGATCAGTGACACCCAGCTGACACCCCGAGAACATCTCTGTAAACAGCTGTCATGATAAATCAAACTGGATATGAAGCAGGTCGTTTCACTGAATCACGTCTCCTGTCTTTCCTCCGTGTTTACCTGAGAGCTCTCTCTTCCTCCAAATCTATTATTTCTGCTCTAATTATTGAGCATCACCTCTTCACTTCCCTCCGGCCGACTCCACCGAGCCGTCAGCTGCTCTCCGCCTCCCCTCTGCTTCACTTTGTCGCTCTGATCTTATGTCAAATACACGACTTTGATGCCTCAGCACATCTATCATCACCACTTCATAAGAAACATTCACTCTCAGCTTGAGAGCCGTGGCTGCTCTGAAGGTTTGGATGTTTTTATCCTCTGATTACTGAACTCCAGACTGAACACAAACTTTCTTCTGTTTACAGACTCAGAGAGGGATTAAAATAAGACCAGACACGACGAACAGATGTAAAACATTTAAAAAGTCAGGAATAAACTCTGTTTCTGTTCAGTACTTGTACTTCTATTTTAGGGTAACTTATTGTTCTACTCCTATGATTTTAGAGGCTAATATTGTACTTATTTACTCCACTACATGTATTTAACAGCTTTGAAGACTAAGATTTGATTCCAAAAATAAACTGGTTATAAAATCAGTTCCCTACAGTATGCGACACCAACAAAATTAAAACAGTAATTTTACCTCGCAGAACACACGAGCTGCTGGTCTACGACTGCTACGATCAGTTAAGCCTAGCTCACATTACACGATTTTCACCCTGATTTTGCGTCGCAGAGACTATCCTATCCTATCTTCTGAGTGTTCATACCCAGCGACGTGTGTTTCTGTCAGCGGGAGTCTCGCCAACTGTCTTACGACCTGTGTGTGCACACCACAAGATTTCTCCACCGAGCCCTCGCTGACAGAGCCCCAGATAACGCAGTGACGTCACCAAACTTGGAGATGACACATCGTAAAGGCATGGATATTCTTTATTATCCTGGGTCCAAACACAACGCGCTCCCCGTGATCCTGTGGGCGCCGCCATTGTTGTTGTTGCTTGCCGGCTTGTCAGTGTTGCCAGATCTTGGGAGAGAAACAAGCAACCAGGGCTATGGAAACAATCCCAAAAGAAGTGATGGATATATATAGAGAAAGGCGACGTTTAGAGAGCAAACCCAAATAAGCAACTCCATTTTAGAAACAAGCCCAAAAAAACGCAACCTGCGACCACCAATATTTGTAAGCAACTTTACAAAAAAACAAGCCCAAAGTCGCGGCTAATAAGTGGACCTGGCAACCCTGCGGCTTGTCCTCCTCACATTTCTTCCGTCCTCCTGCGTGCTGACGTGGGACGTATCCCACCTCTCATTGGCTGATGCTCTTTGTCGGTTGTGCCAGACTCCAGTTTTCTAGCATGCCAGATATCCAGTCCCAGTCACAGACGAGGGGGCGACTTGCTCATAGGCTTGTTCACACATGAGGACTCGTTGTGGCAGACTATCTGCTGACTCACCTCTGACCCAAGGTGGCTCTCAAGATCCTCTGCGACGTCAAAATCGCGGTGAAAATCGTGTAATGTGAACTAGGCTTAAGTTAGTATGTGTTATTGTGTGACTTTGGTGAATCTGAACTAACCCTTTTAAAAGCCGAACTCACACTAAAACAAACAAAATATAACTGATCGAGGCGGCAGTAGACCAGCAGCTCCTGTGTTCAGCAATGTTAAATTACAGTTTTTCTGAATGGAGTCTGGCTTTGAAGAGAGCAAAGATAATGGCTTCAGTTCCCATTTAGAAACTGCTGTCTGACGGCAAGATAAAGCAGTGAAAATATTCTAAATATAGCGTACGCTTAAATGGATATCGATGTATTTAGGTGGCCAAATATATTATGTTGCTGACCCCTCCACAGCAGTACACTGCTTAGCTTCTGTGTTGGACTCCTGCCTGTTTCACCGAACTAGGGGCATGCTGACTGCCATCTACTGTAGGTAACACAGTGGCTATGGAGAAGTACCTCATACAACCCCACTTAAAAAAATCCAAACTATCCCTTTAAAAGGTGCTGGCTATTATGAGCCAGTGAATAATCTTGCCAGAGGTGGAGGAATACTTAATAACCATTAACTTAACTGTCTCTCAGTTAATAGAGAGCTGTAATTATTAATTAAATCACATAAATTAAAAAAATAGAGTATTTTTTCTGATTACATTGAAGCCAGAGTTCATCAGATTGTGTTAAAACATCAGAACTTGACAGAAATAAAGCGTACACACATATAACTAACACATTTCCTGGTTTCTTACCTGGTTTTCATGTCTGGCTGTTGACTGTTACGCTCCTCATTGTGCTGAGAAGCAAACACACACACAAATATAGAGGCATTTAAATAGAAGCTAAACCCGTCTGAGCTTTAAGAGTTCAGTCACAGCAGGAAGTAAATCCTCACGATGCCAAAACCTATTAATCAAATCGCCGTTTCTGACTTAACAAAACCCTGATCTATATAACAGGATGAAGGAAATCGTTCATATGTTTAATAAAATAATATACAGTTTTAGAAAGGTCAGTACCTCCTCAAGATGCTGAGACTTCTGGGAGGCCAGCTTCAGCTCCTCACTGAGGGGGGAGGAGACAGAAAGGAGAGGTGACACACTTTAAAGTGCTGCAGTGAAGGAGCAGAGTGTGTGATGGTATATCTGTGTCACCATCACTGCTCTCTGCTTAAATCTGGTGTGGAGCCAGATGTGTTCACATCTGTTAAACACACACACACACACACAGACCACAAGAGAATCCAGTGTTTCACCTGGTTTGATTTTGGGTGCAAAAATTTAGTTATTACAGACTTGATTATGAGCTGTTAAGTGAGTGAGTGATAAACATTGCTCTATGAAATGTGTGACTTGAAGACTAGAGCTGCCCCCAAATTTTCCTAGTCGACCTACAGTTGTCATTTAGGGCCATTAGTCGACGAGTCGCCCTCATGTTTCTGATGTTAGTTTAATGATTAAATGATACATACGTAATACAAACCGTACTAATGAACCTTCATTAATATAGGCCTATATTTTATCTACAAGCGCACGTCACACACTGAGCGAGCCGCCTGTTAATGACGCTGTGGGCTAATGGGCATGTAGCTACTTCCATGTTTCAGATGATGCGTCATGTTTGTAGTCGACCAATGAAGATGAGTTTACATATCACCTTGGGTTCGTCCTTCACCTTCTCAAAATGATCCCACACTTTGGATTTCCTGCCCGACATGTTATTAACTAGCCTGTGGAATAACCGCAGGTACCAGCCCTGGAAATTAACCTGACGAGAACACTTCCTGTGTCTGTCCTTTCAAAGTAAAGTCACACCTGCTCCAGTCATATAGGTTTGGATTTATTTTGACAAGGTGCAGCTCCTAGTAGAGTTTCACTTTTGTTTTTGTTTTTCCTGCAACAAAGCAACCAGTGAAATCTTGCAGACTAATGACCTTTCTGGTCGTCTAACGTTTAATCGACTATTGGGGCGCCCCTAACAAGAGTTTGGCTGGTTAGGTATGACACCTCGCGAGTGTTGCAGGAATTACGTTCTGTCATCAACGCTAGTGCTGTCAACTTAAGTTTGCTATTTCGGTGGAAAATTTCCAACTGCACTTTCCTTGTGCGGCCCTCAATCAAAACTTTGAACACCCCTGCTATAAAGTCTTGTTTAAACATCCAGCAGATACAGAGCAACATTAGCATCATTTGGAGTCTGAAGGTGAGGTCCATCAGTCATTCTTTCTTTTATCTCTGTCTTTGGTCTCCACCAACTCCTCAGGAAAATATCTGTCTCTCGCTGCTAAATGTTCCACGATGTACATCTGGTTTTTGAGGGGTTTGTTTGCTGAAAACAACGGCCTACAGAGTCAGATGACAATTCTCTGTGGGTTCATCACTACGATCAAGCCCTTTTTACATCGCACAAAAGTAACTTCATTCATTGTCAGTATAAAAATAAAATACGATAATCCTTTATTTGTCCCATAGCAGGGAAATCTGCAACAAAATATTGACTGTTGCAACTTTAAAGCACCCCAAGGTTACTGAAAAATAAATCTAGGATTTATTTCAGTCACTTATGTTCTCAGCATTTTAAAAGCAACAAAATGTCAAAAAAGAAATCAGTTAAACTTAAAACACTCTGAACATTCAATAGTAAAAGAACCGTATGGACCTGACTTACACTGATATAATCTACAGACTCAAAAGCCATCTGTTAGTCCATATCTGCTGCTACTACACCCTCCTACTTTAAACATCTTAAAGGATTTGACAGCTTTAAAACCCACAGTTTCAGTGGTTTATACGCTCTGCAGTGCTGAGATTCAGCAGTGATACAGTATGCATACATGCACGAGAGAGAAATACCATCAGAATATTATAAAAGTGATGCTGTAATCTGAGCATGAGATCAGATTTAGACCCAGAGACAGCTGCACAGACTGTGCTGTCTGGGAATTGATCAGTCTGGATATTTGTCGATGCTGGAGCCGAACGATTTGCTGAAGAAATTGAAATTAGCTCCATGTGGGTCATTCTTAGGATTTGTGTCAAAGGAAGAAGCTATGTGTGACGAATGGCTCGGTCTGAGCACCAGCTGGGGAAATGTTTAGCTGCCTGCTGTATAATCACATCGGCCAAGGGAGGAGTTGAAGGGAAACTACACTTTAAAATAAATATGGTTTATTACACAGACTTTGTAAATAAAACATCACTGCTGTCTCTGTCACTTGTTTTCTCCATCAGGGTGTAAACAGAAACAGATTTGACAGAGAGTGAAGCAGCTGAGGCTCAGCTTCTGCAATCTAACTTGGGGAAATTGTTTCCTGCGTCATCAATGATTTAATAGTTTACTACTGTAGTTTTATGCTTCATGTTTCACCAAAGAGAACTGAAAAGGAAAAACAGATAAATAAAATTTCTACCAAAACACATGGAAGAAAACTACATGAAATCTTAAAGCTGCATTAATAAGTTTCTGTGTGTTTGAACACTTAAGTCCAGAAAAAATATCAGTTTTTGGATGGATTGCAAATAAGTTATGTGCAGACATTCATGTTCTCAAGAAGATGAATCCTGATGACTGTCTGATCCCGATATTTACTCTAGCGCCACCAAGAGGTTGATATTTGTGTTTTAGAGATATATCTCAAAAACTATCAGATAAATAGCCTTGAAATTCGGCTTTAACATTCATGCCCTTAAACAGCTTTATTTAATTCCTTAGCTTAACATGAAGACAAAATACTATTTTTTCAACACTTAGTTTTGACGAAATACCTGCAAAACTGATCCTAATCCCATCATCCTGAACGGTGCTTTGTGTTTAGCACTAATTAGCGAATTTTAGTATGCTAACAGGCTAAATTAAGATGGTGGACATTCCTGCAAAACATCACGATGTCACTAATGTCACTGTGAGCATGTTAGCATGTTGCTGTTAGCATGTAGCTCAAAGCACCGTCGTGTGAATATGCAGGCTCACAGAGCTGCTAGCATTGGCTGTAGACTCTAAAGCTGTGTCCGACATTCCATGCTAACATGCTATTCAGTGCCCTTAAACAGTGTGTGAATTTTTTAGCATATCCGTAACCTTATGCAAACTATTTCCCATGAAATATGACAGTACGCAAACACTGGACACTGCAGCGACATAAATATCTCACAGTGCAACGCTGTCGAGGAAAACGTTCATAATGATCAGCGAGCAGGACAAGACTCTGTAACGTCAATAACGCTTCACTTTAAGCGTAAATATGTGAGAAGTGTTAGAGTGTGTCTTAAACCGCATACTTCCATAAGCACACTTCAAAGTAGTCTACTGTGTAAATGTAAGACAGCTACCTGTTTTAGCCACTAGGAGGTGCTGTTGTGCTGTCTATTTCGCAAAAAACATGGCAGCTCACACTGTTTGTCCCTGGCAGGACACCTTAGCTTTGACATTTGCTCTGCTTAGGACGCCATGTTTTTCAAAGTTTACTTTCCCTTGTCCTGTGAGGTGAGCATTGTGTCAGCGTCCTGCATTATGTTGGTCATTTATTCCTTTCAGATTGATTCAGTCGTATTTAGTTTAACTTGACAGTTTTGTTTATTTTTATTTGATGCATTTTTTTTTAATGTTAATTACTGTTTGAGTAGGAGATTTATTTCTTTAAAAAAGTTCACTTTCTCTTGCCCTGCAAGGTTGAGGATTTTGTTGAGGATGTGATGCCAGCAGCAGAGATGTTACTGAGAGTTACTGTGAAATAAAACACAGTCAAGGTCTCAACTACAATTTCAAATCCTGCATCTGCACCATGTACTTCTTGAGTGGGGCACTAATTTCAGCAGGGTAGTGTTCCAAACAACAGCTGACAACAGCTTTTTAAAAAATCTTTTAAACTATGTCTTCTCCTTCTTTGTCTCCTTTTTAAACGGCGAATTAACAAATGGACGTTAGAGCAATATCGCCAACATTTGACCGCTATCTCCACCCACACATAAACCAAACCAAACAGGCCACAACGTCAATGCCGATTAAAATGTGCCACGATAGCTCGGAGCAAGTTAGCTAGCAAGCTAACAGTAGCTTCCACTACATCACAAAGACGGCGACCATTGAGGGTGAGAAGTGTCCGTCATTCCTTACTCAACTTTTGGACCATTTTGAGTGCGGCAGTAATACACTACATTTTCCCGTACTATGCAGTGTGAACATCCTTGTGCACTTAAAATATGACACTTTAAGTTTCACTTTACTAAACGTAATATAGGTTTTAAATTATTTCTAAATTGCCATAAGAGCTGAGGTTGGCAAGAGTTACCATGGTTACACGTCTCCAACTGGCAAGGAGGCTCTCAGGAAGTAACGTGGTAATTACAGCTCTGTTCATCCGAAACGATGCATATTACTGTTTATTTACACGAAAGTATGATGACATATTGGACATGTAGTGCACATGTGATTTTGGACGCAGCGTTAGTCTTATTTAATCATGATTTGTAAACGACGACTCTTTGTCACGGTGAAATAAAGCCTGTATTTACACGGCAACAACACATTTTTGATATTAACTGCTGTATTTAACAGACAAACCGATCACAGTTTGACCTACAGTAGCACCGAAACAGAACAATAAAAAACCTGAGCTGTGGTGCTTACAGCTGCTCTCTCAGATGCCACAAAAGCCACATTGATTCCACACCAGCACACACACACACACAACGTGACACACACACACACACACACACACACACAAAACACACACTGATGTCACAGTGAGAGTAGCGGCCATGTTGGAGCCAGGCGGTCCTAGGAGGAGAGACGGAGGGATTACATAACAGCAGCAGACTGAGGAAGGATGGAGGAACACATTGTTGAGATGAGACAGGACGGAGGTGGAGGGAAGGAAACTGTGACAGAGCCACAGACGTGTCAAACATGAGGCCTCTTTGAGCTTTAACATTATTTAGGCTCATATAGAGAAGCAGACGCTCCGTAAAGAGGATGAAGCTGCGTTTGTTCCACTGTATCTAAAGATATTTGTTGACATCTCCATCTGCTCCTCCTACAGGACGCTACATATTGATGACTAAAATTCAGCCAGTTAGATCCATCTGGAGCTCTGACATCACAGCTCGGGGCCTCTGATGACTCAGGGGAGGTGTGGCAGGATGATGTAAAGACTCATAAACACCACATACTTCAACACACACACACACACACACACACACACACACACACGGTCTATAAATAGACCTCAACATCAGCCTGGAGATCCAGCACAAACACAACAAAGTAAAATAAAAACACATCGTTAAGCGCTGGAGTATTTTTACTCTGCATCAAAAACACAGAAGCATCAAAGTCGTTGATAATAAATTTTGCTGAGTCATGTTTTGCTCTTCTGTCCTCAGAGGTTTTAAAGGACCAAAATAATGCTTTTTCATGTTTTCATTTAGTCCATTTTGCAAAGACATGGTGCTGTTTCACAAGTCTGAATGCATTTTCTAATCACGCCACGAGACAGTGCACAATTTAGGTCCCGCCCACACAGGAGGGGAAACAATTCATCGCTCTCCACTGACTTTGCATTGCATGAAGTTGCCTCCTTGTTACTTACGTCTGCTAGCAAACAACAGAAAAGTGTCTTAAAGCTGCTGTCTAATGCGATGCACTACCAACATGGAAAAAATTCCTAAGTTTTATAAGCTGCCAAACAGAAAACTGAGCCTTTAGGAGGAGAAAAGTGGATATTATATTCAGGATGTGGCTAACTGTCATGAAGCAGAAGCTATATAAAAAAGTTACAGGCGTGAATTTGGCCAAACAAACTCTTATACACAGGTTGAAGCTAACTAAGCTATGTAATGACTGATTTTGATCTTTGTTAGGTTAAATAATGATCTTATCTTATCTGATGATTCCATTAAATAGTTGTAAATATTAAGGTATGTCACTTCTGGGCATTCAGTGGAATTACTTCTCAAAGATAAGCCAGGTGAGGAGAAGAGGAGACTGAGACAGACGGACAACACTGAGTTTGTCAAGGTACCTTTTCCTCTCTGGTAGATGGAAGGTGCTAAAATAATCCTCTGACATGCTGAAATCTGATGTTTTTAGCTAACTCCAAGTGTTTTGTTAGCTTTTCAGCCTGAGGTTGCACATTGTTATTCCGACTGTTTTCCCCTCCAGTAAGCGTGGTTTTCAGATTGTGACGTTCTGTCTCTGTGGATCCATTTGCTTTCATTCATTCATTCATAACCAATGAGATGTACACTAAGCTAAGTGAGAGCCTGTGTCCACATGGTGTTTTTTTATCTCAGCGCCAGCATCTTTTTTCAGTTGTCCTCAATGAAGAGCGGGCTTTTTTGTGCGGCCGCACTGAGCGCTTTAAGTTGAATATCTCTGAACTTTTCAAAAAGGCACCAGTGACATCACGGCTGCTTCTTTAGCTAAGCTACTGTCTGCTGTCCCAACAAAGACAGAAAAGCTTATTTTTTGGGAGCAGATCAGCCAGTGGACACTGATTGTTGCTGGTGAGTCTTGTGCTTTTATCACTTGCTTGAAGTTACCTGTGTCAACCCTCTGTTAATGTAGCGTTATGTTAGCTACTGGGCTAATGCTAGTGTCAAGATATTAGTGTCATAGAAGCAAAACCCACACACAGCATGTCATTAATATAAGCACCAGCATGAAGTGCTCCTCAGCGCCCTGCCACCACTTTGCTGCTAAAAAAACAAAACGCTAGGTGGACGCACGCTCTAAGGAAAGCAATAAGTTATACAACTAATCACTTTTACTGCTGAGTAATTAATAAAGTAATGTCATGACTTGTGACTCATGTGGAATGAGTGCTTGATCACAGTTTTTGAGTAACTTGCCAGACACCGATCTTTGTTAAGTTTAAAGATAAGCTTTTGTTCTGCAAAAACATTTCTGTGCACACACAAGTATTTTTTCTTTTTCCTTTCTTTTACATCTGTTTTCTCACGAAGGAATGTAAATGTTTATAAACCTTAGATATTACTACTGCACTGCAAATTGAGCATCTTGGAATAAAACAAATCTTAAATAAAAACACGTGTGACAGAAACTGATGGAGACTCCAAGCATCTGACTTGGTTTTGAATCCATTCAGAAATCGAATGCAAACTAAACGTTACCAGAAATGTACTTATATAATGTGCATTAAATAATGTATTAAGTGTAATGTAAAATGTAAGTATATGTGATCTGTAGTTAAGGATCTTCAACTTGATTGATGTACAACATTTTTACGACGACACTGAGGACTCATGGTTTAAATATTTTTATGTGGAAGCCATAACACTCAAGAGGTTTTTCTTTTTTTGCTGTGATAATGAGTGTTGTGCATTGTACTCCACTCTGCCATCATATCCATAATCACATAATAGCACCCTCTGGCTTAATTATGGGCTTTACACAACAATTTATGGCGTATTTACAAGTGGAGGCATCTCTGTGGAGCGCTGCAGATGGAGCCTCGTTAATACCACATTTGACATTTGCAGCATAGAGACAGTTTTCACATGTTTATCTAAACGTCTAAATGCAATTAAATCGAGCCACATTTTCACAGCGCTTCTTTGTGCTGAATCAAGAGCTCGGAGAAATGCAGAGTGGATTTTTAATCATTTGTTCATACCCTCAGGACACATTAACCACACCAGTCTAATGAACTGGCTGGCTGGGGGTCACCTTTACAGGACACACACGGCAGGAAAAAACACATTAGTTATCACGAGTACTCACATTTCCTTGCAGAGGACTCCGATGCGCTGCGTTTCCGAGCTGCTGCGCTCCTTCGACAGACTGAGCTCCTCCTGGTATTTGGAGTTCTGCTGTTTTAAAGCCTCGAGCTGAAGAGGAACAGACACAGAGAAGAATAAATGCACTCCACTTCACAACAATAAAAAGACATCACGGGAGGTATAATGTGTCGTTGTTTCCCATCTTAATTATACATTTACAGCTGATAGGTTGGATTGGCTTTATTTCTCCAGGGGTGGTGGGGTGATTTTAACATCACCTGTGCTGCTCAGTGACTTTAATCCCATCTGGAGCGTGGATGTGGTTTAATTTCTCCTCCTCACTCCAGTAATAAGAACAGCTGCAATTACTGACTGTTGAATCCCGTCCAGAGCGACGGCCTCGTGTTTTAACGAGGATCTTGTGAGTATGTTTCCACATGAGGAGCTGCTTGTCCTCCTACTTTATTTATCTCTTAATGAGGTCAGTGTTAAAGGCATACTACGCAGGAGATTCTTAAAGAACAATGCATATACTCACACAGCAGTAATCCCTCTCAATCATCACTTATGACCCACCCTCAATGTGTTGGCGTATCTTTCTGCAGAGATTTTTCTGTATTTTCTTATTTTCTGTGATAGGATGTTTATGGGCGTGTACTCCCACAGTGCTCAGGTGAGGTCAGGGCTTTACAAAAAGGAAGTGACCACGTAATAGAAGGCAACCAAGAGAAACAGTGCCGAAAAACACAAATACAGCGAGGTGAAACATTTAATGAGAGTGTATCTGGGAAACCTTTACAGCCTTTGTTACCTTATTAGCCAAGTGGAAGTCCCCAACACCTCCTCCACACACTCTATGGGTAAGTGAAGTCCTTAACTTAACTGCATAATGAACGGCTCCCTGAGGAAACTTCGCATGATGTGGGAATCCTTTTTTGAGTATGTAGAAGAGCTAGACTTTACATTCCTGTATGATTGATCATCTATTTTACAGACATTAAATGTGACGTGACAGGCAGTTGTCCGACCAACAACCACTATATTATGTTTTAGTATTTCATGTGATTTTTATCACCATACACGTATTTTCACACATTTTTATATTTTAATTTTACTACTATGTTGTTTTGTTCTTTGTCTTGTTCGGGGTGCTGATTTAGTTTGTAGTATTTGTCTTGTCTCAGTCCTGTCTTGGCTTCACATCGTTCTTGTTTTACTTACTACTTACTTTTTTGTTGTGTCATTATTGGATTGACCAAATATTTTTGTGCTCTCTGTCTACTTTATTTGGAAAATCCCAATAAACAGATTTTGGGTGGGGGGGGAGTGAAACTGGGGTTGGCTTTACTTTCACTAGTGAACTGTTAACAAAGAGTAACTGACAATCCTGCAGAGTATACCTTAAAAATTTGAAATGAAGTTAAGCCAGAAATGTTTTTGCAAGCTCTAGCAAATGTTTGAAACTGTTGCTTGAAAAATTACTCAAGCAACTGAGCAATTATTGATGTAGTAGCTGAGTAGGACATCATAGAAGCTTATGATGGCCACCATGAACCAGGAGGTCCCTGGTTGGAGTCTGATTAGTAGTGTGATTAAGCTATTAGTTGTAAAAAATTAAATTAATCTCCAACTCTTGAGTAATTTTTTGAGGAAAAAGGTAAATATTCTGTTATTTCAGCTTCTTAAAAGTGAATATTTTCTAGTTTATTTAATCCTCTATGCGAGTAGACTGAACATCTTTGGGTTGTGGACAAAACAAGAAATACTAACACGTCGTCTTTGTCTTTGGAAAACACTGATCAAATTTTTTTCCACCATTTTCTGACATTTTATTGACCAAACAACTCCTCAATTAATTAATGAAATTAATAAATACAGACATTACCTGATCAGAAACTGTGAAAAAAATGTAAGGAAATAATTTGAGTGTGTGAGTGTATGATGTGTTTGTCTGTGTATTGTATGTTATTTTAGTTTCAAACGGTTGTATTGTTGTTACGTGTTTCTTCAATCGTTTGTCATTAATATAAGAAAATGACAATAAACTGGGGGAAAAAATGAAATTAAAAGTTAGTGGCAGCTCTACTTGTCAGAAACTTTTCCTGTCATCTCTCCAATCCCCTTCCCCAAAATACTTTCTAAAAACCTGCTGATTCAATCTTTCTTTCAGCTCCACTATATGCCATAAACATATATTCAACATCATATTCCAGTTTAAGAGTTTCTGCATCAGAGGAAAAGCTGCCGCCAGACAAGAGGACTTCTGGGTCATTAAGAGTGAAACTGCAGTTAATTCTTAAAATACACAAAGCCTTGATGTATCTGCGATGAGTCAGCAGCGAGCAGAATGGGTTCAATCCACGTGAAACTAAAAATAAAATCCCCAGAGACGTCAGTGCCTTCAACTTCACCTCATGCAAACTTTTTAGCTCTCATTCAAGTCTGACAATCCAAAAAAAAACCCACATCTCATAAATCATCAAACTGGTTTTCAGACACGTGCAGCACCGCGGCTTTAAAATAGCAATAATCAATATTTAATTAACAAGTATGACTTTAAGATCAATGCTTCTGCTGCAGCTGGCTTCAGATAAAGTAAAACACCATGTGTCATGATGCACACTGTCTGCAGCATGTTTCTGTTTGCACATCAGCCGTGTTTTGGACGCCTTTCAGTGAGAGTATCTGACTTCTTAAACACCTCAGTATTTATCTACACCTCCAAAGTGAGATCTCGTCTGCAGAGCATGCCCACATACACGTGTAAACATACACAAATACACGCAAACATGCAGAATATACACATGTTATCTGCTGGGTCACAAGCACAGGCTACATCACGAGATCTCACATTAACATACATCATGAAATCTTGCATTTACACTGTGAAAAAGGATCATTCATGAGATCTAATTAGCCCAAATTAACACCATCTACTCCTCATTACACTGACAGCAAAATGCACTTGTATCTGCTGCACTGATCAGGTTTGAATCCCCAGCTAAAAAGCAAAACCTACCTGGTAGCGAGGCGAGTAGATGTTACTGGAGTAACCCTGATGCAGAGCAGCTATGTCCATACCTGCACAGCTCTCCACTGCCGGAATTCAACCTCTGATCACCTGCTAAACGACAGCAGCGTTGTTGCTATGTCAGCCTCTCTCTACAGCATCACATGCACGCACTGAAACAAGCTGGGCATCAATAAACCATCAGCTCTCGTCCCCTGCTGTGCACGGCTGCGAGAGGGAAATGGAGAGCGTGTCGCTTCAGCAGCCTCGCTTTCTCTCTCTCTCAGTTGCATTAAAGACGCCGAGCACTTCCATTATGTAAGCGCGACAGGATAAGCTCCTCCCAGACTCACACACCCCCCCAGCTCTCTGATGCTCACAGTCTTGTTCCTTTGCTCTCCAACACCATATGTGCACTCCTCTAAAAGATTCACCTTTCATTCACAGTGTGTAACATGAATCACAGCAAATACAAGAATCAGCTGGTGCCTGCAACAGTTTTGTTTTACAGTCGGAGGTCTGATAGAAACAACGAGCCATTCACACTGTCCCTCATACAGAGGCATCTGTGCCAAGACAACATAACAGCAACTAACAATTATTATCATTAGTAATTAATCGTTTGGTCTATAAAATGCCAGAAAATTGTGAAAAATGGTGATTACATTTATTGACATATTTAAACAGCTTCTCTTGTTTGACCGTTGCTCAAAAACCCACTGATATACAGTTTAACTATCAGTGCAGACTGAGAAACCAGCAAATAGCCACAACCGAAAAAGGTTTGTGGAATGACAAATAATGACAAATATTAATACCACGACTCGATAAATACTGGGTGCTGGACAGAAGAACAAACAACAATACAAAAACAGGTCCGCACACCAGAAACTGCTCCTTTTGGAAATTTCAATCTGATCACCACGTGTGACGTTTGAGGCGACAACACTTCATCAGACATGGACAAGATAAGGACACACAGCTTTATATGTACAACCAATGGCGGTCGCCAATCCCAGCTGACACTGGGTGAGAGGCGGGGTTCACCCTGGACAGGTCACCAGACTATCACAGGGCTGACACATAGAGACAGACAACCATTCACACTCACATTCACACCTACGGACAATTTAGAGTCACCAATTAACCTGCATGTCTATGGACTGTGGGAGAAAGCTGGAGTACCTGGAGGAAACCCACGCTGACACAGGGAGAACATGTCAGAGCACCTGGAGGAAACCCACGCTGACACAGGGAGAACATGCAAACTCCACACAGAAGGGCTCCCACACCCTGGGTTCAAACCAGGAACCCTCTTGCTGTGAGGTGACAATGCAAACCACTGCACCACTGTGCTGCCTTAACCATGTTGTTTTCGACATATTTAATCAGCCCACTTTGGCTGACCATTACTCCAAAACCCAACTGTGTTCTATTTATCATAAAAATAAATCTGAATAAATCAGAAAACCAGCAAATAACCACAACTAGGGCTGGACGATATTTTTTCAGCTACATCTCGATACACGATATGTATCTTGATTTTGTAAGCACTTCATTAATGCTCAGACTTCTTATATTTCTTATGTTTACTCTCAGTCTATTGTTGTTTTATTCTTCTGATGTATATATTGTAGTTAAATTTTCACACTTACAGCCTCAGCACAGTGACGATATATATTTTATTTTAATATTTTAATTTTATATCTTAAGTACTAGTGTTAAACACTGCAGCATAATACACATTTTATTTCTATTTTAATGTATTCATTGCTTTATATTTACACACTTTTATTTCATACTCTTATTCTTTCTTCTTATAATTCTCTGTTCTGTACATTAGAGCAACTGTAATGAATCGTAATTTCCCCTCGGGGATCGATAAAGTATTTCTGATCCTGAAACACCCTCTCTGATGCCAAAAAGTTGTAGGGATGACTATCAGAAAATGTTATCACAATGGGGTTTTTGATCAATAATCATCAATGATGTGGATATAATGACTAAATGGGTTTAAGACAAGCATTAAAACAATAGATAGGTCTGATAAGTTCATAAATTTAAATCACTTGTCTGTAGTGCAGCCTTTAAAACCAGGGAAAAACACAATTTTTGCCACATCATGATACAACGATATCCAAAATCTAAGACGCTATATAGTCTCATATCTCGATAACGATATAATATCTTCATATTGCCCAACCCTAACCACTACTGACAGCTAATCAAGCCAACGAAGCCAAACAAAAATGTTGTGTAATGTTAAATATTAATACTACAAAACAAAAAGCATGTTTATATTCTGTCGCTGTCTCACTTGACTTTTAAATCCTACAGAAGATCAACTGAGAAGCTGCAACCAGGACATTTTCCTTGTCATCTCTTTACTGGCACTGTCTAAAAAAAGTCTTAAAAATTACACGATAATAATAATAATAATAACAATAACAATAATAATAATAATATTAACACTTAAACAATTAACTGGTTATCAGAATTGTTGCGGGCTGACTTTGATCAGTTAATCAACATATCGTTTCAGCTGTAGATCCAACAGATTTATAACAGCACAACACAAAAGGGCAGTCTCAAGTCAACCGAGCATTAACTAAAGCAATGCTGTGTGTCCAGCCAGGCATCTCACACACACACACACACACACACACACACTCTGACATGTGCACTATTACATCACAACTTACAGCAACACGGCTGAGTGGACAGAAGAAGCAGATGTAAGAGCATCCCTGCTGAATAAATTACGTGTGTGTGTGTGCGTGTGTGTGTGTTTGTTTTCCTCCATAGAGACGACACTCTCTCTTTACTGTAGCTGCAAAAATATTTTTAATTTTTGATGACATCATGCTGATCCCTTCAGTTTCCTTAAAGCATGTGTATTTAAAGTACGCTGAACAGTCCGTGGTTTGTTTCAATTCTGTTCTTTATGTTTGAGCTCAGCTACAACTATGGGCTGCAAATGACTACTGTTAAATAAATAAATAAATAAATAAACACCCTATCAGGTAACAGTTTATTTTAACCCCTTATTTATCATCTATAGACAGTATCATTAGTAGGGATGGCCGAGTACCTCATCATCTGTATTCATAGCTGTAGTCAAAATGGGCGGAGAGCTGTGTGGGTACATGAGACCCTAAAAAAGAGGCTGGATCATGGGGAGTACCACCAGTTGGTCCAGGAGCTTCTCCTCCATCATGGAAGTTTACAGGCATATTTTAGGACGACTCAGGGGCAGTTTGACAACCTGCTGTCTATCATCAGGCCGTATAGCTCTGGGTATCCAGCAACCACTACCACCAGTTTCTCCTCCATTGTTTACCAACTGTAAACTTGTTGTTGTGACCACCACAGAAGCCCCGACTCTCAAATCATCCCATTGGACGACGGGGAAAAGGCCCTTTTTGGCTCTGAGTTGAAGTTTTTTCAACTTGAGGAGTTCAGAGCACGTGAGGCACACAACAACGCAAAGAACAGTTACGTGCAGCGTACTGATTCGCTCAGCCCCTCGTTGCCTGTCTCGGGATTGCGAGCTCTGTACCTTGGTCAGAGTCAAACACCCGTATTCACCCGTATTCTTCAGATCGCACTCTTCTATCAAATACGCTACATTTTTTTGTCTGTCCCTCGCACTCGCCTTAAGACACGTGGTGATTGAGCATATGCAGCTGTAGCACTTAAATTTTGGAATGCTCGGCCTGCTCCGTCACGATCTGCTAACTCTGTGGTTTTATTTTAAAGCCAGCTAAAGATGCACCTGTTTAGACAGGTGTTTGGGTAACTTGTATGTACCAGAGCTGGACTTTTTCAAATTTTGTGTATTGTTGTTGTGTAGTGTGAATTTTTTTTTTTTTCTTGTGTGTGTGCACTGTGCAAATAGTTTTGCTAGTAGTGCACTTTTCACAACGTGGCTCACATGGTCATTGTATATTGCCCTTGTGAAGCACTTTGTGACCTATGTGTGCGAAAAGCGCTGTATAAATAAATTTTACTTGCTTAGTTACACACAGTGACAGGGCTAACTGTTAGCATCACAAGCTAATGTTACCCAACGGTTAATAACGGGTTTAACAACAGAGTTGACTGGTTTTGGTCTTGGTGTGAGAATGTTGGGAGCTCAGTGAATGTTGGCTCCTGCTGCTGTGTTAGCTCGTGCTAACAGGGCAAAAAGAGCAGAAGAAGAGCAACTCAGAGAGACCGCCTTTCAGAGCTCTGTCCAACTAATCACAATTCTACAGAAAACACTGAAATCCAAAATAATAGGCTCTAAATTCAAGATAGCATCACAACTATTTTTTTCCAATTTCCACTTGCCCTAAACCTACGCCCATAAACATCACAACATGCATCAAAATATTTTACAAAAGCGGCCATGACATCAGGCAGGCAAATGTATGAGACACAATACAAAACCTGTTGTGGGTAATGTTGAGATTAATTGCTCTTGTATAATTTTTCATTATTTTATATACATTATTTTGTATCATTCTCTATTTATCTGTACTCATTTCTTTCCTTGTTCTGCTGGGATCAGTAAAGGTTCATCTTATATTATCTATTCCACCTTGAATCATCCCCTCAAATCCTTGAATCAAAAGAACAGCAGGCAGAGGACTGTGTGTCATGTCGCAGCGCTGAAATGTAGTGCATGAAAAGGTTTATGTCATGGGATGATTAAAACAGATACGACCCAACAGAAAGCATGTTTATGTTCAGCCTCTAATCTCCTGCTTCCCTCGCTGTCATGAGACCGAACATCTGGAGCTGAACAACAGCTGGAGTCAGAGTGACAGTGGGAGAGAAAGAGGGCACCAGAGAGCTGCAGACTGAGTGAACGGCTGCAGGTGGAGCACAGTGAGACAAACAGCTAGGATCCAGTATGAGATGATAAAAATATCAAGTTACAGATGGAGGTGAGAGGGACGAGACGGGGAGAGTGAATGAGACACAGAGAGATGGTTCACAGTATTTCATGCGTGGCTGATTGAATGCGATGACCGGGACTTCCACAGTCACATGCGGTCAGTGTGAAAATCCTGATGTGAATACGTAATAAAACCCTGCAGGCTATAAATGCTAAACTTATGTATGTGCATGTGTGAATCCTTCCTGTCACGGGGCTGTGGACATATTAAAGTAATGCTGGAGCGGTGTGCACGAGGCTGCAGTCAGAGACATATTTATGAGTTTTTAACCTTTCCAAAACCAAAAAAAGGAGCAGGAGTGCAAGGAACTGCTTTAACAGTGTGTTTGTATGCTAAGCTACAAACGTTCAGAGGCCAAGAAGAATGTCATGAGCCAACGACAGTATTTTGTGGAGCTATATACTTTTTTAAAAAAAATTTTGGGGGGCTTTTTGACTTTATTATAGTGCTGCTGGAGAGAGACAGGAAAGTGGGTAATGTATGTAAGATAAGCAGGTGATGTTGCCTGGGACCTGTTAGCTTTAGCTTCGGTCTTTTAGCACTACAAAATGTATGTAGCCCTCAAGTGCATATTTAAGACTCTTTTGAACAAGTTTCCTGTTTTAAAATGAGTCAAACATTAAAAAGTCAGACTGAGACTCTTGGAGCTAACGTTAGCTTTTTTTGTTGGATAGCCACATGTGATAAAATCTGCTAGCGAGAGCTGTCATGGCTGGAAACGAGAAGCTGCTTTTGTTTAGGTCCATCTTAAATTCTGTCAAAGATTATTTTTAATTTTGTGTGGTAAATCTGACACTTTTATTGCCGTAACAGAATATGAGTTGAGAGTGTAAAAGAGAAGACGGCCAAGGAATTAAAATACGACTTATAGAATGACAGCATGGTGACTTCAGTGACAGTAGATGTTTACAGTCTTCTGCTGGAGCTGAATATTGCCACACATATTTTATGTGTCTGCTCACCTGTGTCTCCAGTGTCTTATTCTCATTGGTCAGCTGCTCAAGCGACCGCTCCGTCCTCTCTGACTTTTCAGTTGCCTGGAAAACAATAATAATATTCAGCTCCACATGGTATGGTAACAGACCGTGCAGGAAAAGCTTGTTTTCCTGAGAACACAAGATATTTGTTTTGCAACTGAGAGAAAACAGTTTTATTACTCCCTGATCTCGACATTATATTACACACCACCCAAACAACTTCAGCACTTAAAATACAGCATTCCCATAAATAGAGCGGAGTGCTCAGAGGTCATTAAAAATGTTGGCTAAAAAAGGAAAGAGAGCCTCCAGCTTGTTCAGCTGCTTCACTTTTACATCCATTTGTAACAAGTCACGTGAAGCAAGAGCAGAAAGCTCTGACTTTGGGGAGAGAGAACAAAACACTCTCCTGTAGCTGCTGCAAAATGTTAAAATGTTTTGTCTGCTGAGGTTTTAGATTAAGAAATATTAGAGCAGCAGAAAGAGTGGACTCTGTTTTAATATTCTGTTCATGTTAGTGCTGATGTTGCACGTGTTTGTATTCTGGGATAACCCAAAATCACAGTGTAAATGGAACTTCATTCATTCAACGCACCTTAAAATGAAAATCAAAGTTAATTTTATGTATGATGAGTATTTATGTTGTAAGTGTTTCAGTCTTAACATCAATATATATTTTGTTAAAAAAACATTCAGAATGAAGATTAGAGCCACATTTAAGAAAAAAAATTGATTTCAAGGTGATGGGGCACTGGCAGAAGTGGAGCGGTGTGGATCAGTGTAAAATTTTATTTATTTATTTTTTTTTAATTTTATATACTTTATTGATCCCCCTGAGGGGAAATTCAATTTTTGTCATTAACACACAGGTCCGAAAGACACACACACATGCACAAACAGGACCTGTACATGCACAAAGTGGAGAGATGTCAGAGTGGTCAGCCTTGGTCAGGTGCCCCGAGCGGTTGGGGGGTTCGGTGCCTTGCTCAGGGGCACCTCGGCAGTGCCCAGGAGGTGAACTGGCACCTCTCCAGCCACCAGTCCACGCTCCATATTTGGTCCGGACAGGGACTTGAACAGGCGACCCTGCGGTTCCCAACCCAAGTCCCTATGGACTGAGCTACTGCCGGCCCAAATGAATGAAAAATTTAAACAAAACGATTTTCCGGTGGTAACACAGTCTTAATCTGTGACTTCTTTATCCTAAAATTAAAGGTTTAATCTTGTAATATTTCGACTTTCGTCTCAAAGACTTCCGACTTTATTCTCGTAATATTATGACTTTTTTTTTCTTGTACATTTCCGACTTTGTTCTCATAGATTTACGACTTTATTCTCATAAAAATTATGGCTTTTCATCTCGTAGATTTAGGGCTTCATTCTTGCAGATTTACAACTTAATCCTCGTAAAATGATGGCTTTTCATCTTGTAGATTTATAACTTTACTCTCATAAATTTACGACTTTATTCTCGTATATTTCCGACTTTAGTCTTATGGATTTCCGACTTTGTTCTCATAGATTTACGACTTTATTCTCGTAAAAATTATGGCTTTTCATCTTGTAGATTTATGACTTTATTCTTGCAGATTTATTACTTTATTCACGTAATATTATGACTTTTATTCTCCTAGATTTACGACTTTTTTCTCAAACTCTATGATTGTTCTTCTTATACATGGCCCTCATCCTCCATCATACTTTAGTATTCCTACTTACTTACCTTTAAATGTCTACAGAGCAGGATTTCCCTAAAAAAAGTACAGACTCATAACAAAGTAATCCAACTCAATCATCATTTACGACCCACATGAAGTGTGTGGTGGTGCATTATTTTCTTCTTATTTTGCTGTGTTTGGGATGTTTCTGGGTACAGCGTGCAGGTAACGTTGGGACTTTATAAAAACAGGTAATGACCAGGTAGCAGCTGCACACATCCAAGAGGCAGCTACAACAAACATGGACACAACACAGACGAAATGCAAATATAGCAAAGTGGAGGAAGCTCGTTCTGAAACAAGAGTGAATCTGGGTTGAGCCCTGAAGGAGAGGATGGGATGAAGAAAGACACAAAGATGGCCTGTTTTCTGTTGGACAGGTCAGTGCTGGTGGTTAGCTTAGTTAGCTTGCTAAAACTAAATTCTTGCATAGTCCTTCTTCCACCATCACCTTTTCCACATAATTTCATCCTCATACATCCTTTACATTACTCTAATTAATAATTCTACAAACTCCTTTTCAGGCAGTGTTTTGGGCATTTGAACGCATCACGATGACAAGCAGCCACAGCTGATAGACTTCACAAAACTGTGATGCTTGAATAAAAAAAGGAGACTGCTGCGTCGACTTATCAAACTCAAATGGGAATGAGAGTAACGTGTGCATGTGTGTGTTAGTAATGTTTTAACAACATCACATTAGCCCGAGGCCGCAGTCAGCTTTAGAGTGGGAGAGCCTCACTAAGTCTGAATGAAAGCATGCTGGGAGATTATTTTAGGAGGGATTATTAAAGGAAAGGCTACTTCAAAGTCCCCAAACTTTTTTTTTTTTTAGTTGTGACATTTTCAGCACAACCAAGAATACCAGAAATAATTAACTGAAATCTGGTGACAGCCAGAAGCAGACAGAGCTGTCCTGGTGAGAATCAGTAAATGCCAACACGCTGATTCATCGTCCACATGCGGCGTTATCCGACTGTTCGCTGCAGTCAGAGCCGTGACTTCAGCTCTGCTCAGAGACAGCAAAGACGCTCTGTGTGCAGTGACATGAGGTTGAGATTTAATGTGACACTGATGTTTTTAAATGTGTTGTTATACCAGCATATCAGGGAGTATTCCAGCACCTAAAATCTGTAGTTAGGTGCAGCTGTTGAGTAAATGTACTCAGTTACATCCCAGCAGTGACTGCATGTGTGAACCTACCTCTGTCAGCTCTTTCTCTCTGCACTGATTCTCCTCTTTCAGGGTTTGGACCTCTTTCTTTGACTGCTCCACAATCTGCTCCAACTCTGTCAGAACACAGAAAGACGACATCAACTCGAACAGTCGTCTTCATGCAGACAAAATAAAACATCACACACTGTCTTAACAAAGTCAGCTGGGACACGTGCTGTGTTTACCTTGCATGGTCTTCGCTGTCCTCCTGTTCTCCTCCTCAGCTGTCTCGAGCGTTTGTCTCTGAAATGGAGAAACATCAGCGAGCTAATCACTCACATAGTAACATTCCTGTTCCTTGAGCTAACGATGACTGGGTCCAGAAAACATGCGAGGTTTGTGGATAAAATGCCTCTGTTAATGAGGCCACTTTCACAATGCCCACAAGCAAAACACCTCACAGGGGAAAATAAGACAAATAAGGTAAAAACTCAGTTACAAATCACACCCTAACAGATGTGAACTTATCAACCAAAATGTGTTTGAATAAACAACCAGAGGAGAGCTCTGATTCTTTGCCCAAGCCAACATGGGCCTGACCCAACCTGCAGGGCTGTAATTTTTCATTAGTTCCCTGGGCTCAAATCAGGTCAGGTTCCAGATGTTAAATTGATTTTTTTTTTTTAATGAAACTGAAGTTCTCATGCATAGATGGAGTTTTAATGGACTGAATCAAGAGGGGAAGTGAGAGAAAGGGAGGGACTGCGACTGAGAGGGAAAGTGACAAAACAAGAGGAGAAGCTAGGGGAGAGAGAGAGAGTGTGCGTGAGAAAGGGACAAAAAACAAGAGAAAGAGGAAGAGACGGGGGCTCCAAGGCGATTTGGTTGGCAGTGTTTGCCTCTGCCTCCCCAGCAGCAGAAGAGATGTGTGACACATACAGCAAAGAGAGGTGATCATCACCTGGGCGCTGCATCACCATAGACTGTCGTGCAACTTGAGGGGTGTAATCTGCTCTGCCTAACGTATCGTGCGCTAGACGACAGACTATTGAAATGAGGAAGAAATGGTGCGACGAAACTGTAATAAATGTTTTGAATTTTAAAAAATATAATATGTAGTTGTCTGCGGCAAAGCGATGTATTGCCCCCTCCAGGTTGGGGGAAGAGTTACTGCCTAAAGCGAAGGAGTCCAAGTATCTTGGGGTCTTGTTCACAAGTGAGGGTAGAATGGAGTGTGAGATGGATCAGCGGTTTGGTGCTGCTTCTGCAGTGATGCGGGCGCTGTGATGGTCTGGTGTGGTGAAGAGGGAGCTGAGCCGGAACGTGAAGCTTTCGATTTACTGGTCCATCTACGTCCCAACCCTCACCTATGGTCATGAGCTCTGGGTAGTGACTGAAAGAATGAGATCACAGATACAAGCTGACGAAATGAGTTTCCTCTGTAGGGTGTCTGGGCTCAGCCTTAGAGATAGGGGGAGGAGCTCAGAGTAGAGCCGCTGCTCCCTCGCATCGAAAGGGGTCAGTTGAGGTGGTTCAATATCTGATCAGGATCCTCCTGGGCGCCTCCTGTTAGAGGTGTTCTGGGCACGTCCCACTGGTAGGAGGCCCCGGGGCAGACCCAGAACACACTGGAGGGATTACATATCTCATCTGGTCTGGGAACACCTTGGGGTTCTCCAGGAGGAGCTGGGAAGCGTTGCTGGGGAGAGGGACGTCTGGGGTGCTTTGCTTTGCCTGCTGCCCCTGTGACCCAGGCCTCGGATGAGAGGACAAAAATGGAAGGATGGATGGAAATATGTGGGCTAAGATATAATTGTTTTATATTTTACAGCAGGCCCCAGCTCAGGCCCAAAACTGCTCCCGTGGTTCGGGGCTCAGGTCAAGCTTGGACAGAAACTGTGCGGGCTCACGTTGGGTCAGGCCTGATTTTTTGGGCCTGATCAGAGCTCTAAACCAGAATCACTTTTCTGTAAAAGTCAGACCTTGTAGCATTTCTGTCACACTTCTAGAGCTGAAACAATTACTGGATTCATTGATTTGCTGATCAACATAAAAAAAATTCAACTATTTTAATTAATATATTTGTAATTACTTTATGATTCAAGCTGTTTTATTAGCAAAAAAGTCATGTTTTTTGGGCAGTTTTGTGTTTCTAACTCTACATGTGAGATTCCCCTGACTTGATTCTCATCATGAGTTGGAGTCTCAACATGATCTTTCCTCTGTTTATTTGTGATTATTAAGCTCTGAGTTTCCTCCTCTCTCACCAGGCCGGTCAGTTCCTCTTCCAGAGAGCTCTTATCTTGCTGCACAGACTGAAGCTCCTTCTGTTTGCTCTCCACGTCTACACTCAGCTCGCTGATCTGTTGGGGACACACAGTATAGACCATAAAGTCTACATATGTACATCTGAGCAGAGCCATAAATTATGCATCGTCACAGCAGCTCAAACAAATTGCACATAAAAAGGAACATGTGACTATTTACATTTGGGACTAAAGGACAGGTTGTAAATTATATGATGATGATAATGATGAATAATACATTTTACAGGTGGGGAGTATCATAAAGCTGCTGCTCAGACTCCACAAACCTTCTTCTCCTGAGCCTGTGCCTGGGCCTTGAGGCTGCTGATCTGCTGCTGGGACAGAGACGCAGCGTCCTCCTTCTGCTGGGACGCCCGCAGCCGCAGCTGGAGGTCGGCCACCTCCCTCTCCAGCTCCATGATCCTGGAGCGCTCAGACACTGTGGCCACCTGCAGCGGAGGGTGTAGGAAAGGAGACATGAAGACAGAGAACAAGGAGACAGGAGAGGTGACAGAGCAGAGCAGTGGTGGAAACAGTAGACTTGGGCTGATCAGTGTAAAACAAATATGACCTTTAACACTATTATATCAGAGATGTGGGATTAAACTGTGTCAAAATAACTTTGAATTGGTAAAGTTTTCAGCCACAGTGACGTATTTTGATTCACCGTGAATATCATCGGGCTGCAACCAATAATTATTTTCACTTTTTATTATTTTTTGGTATTAGATTTGTCTATAACATCGAAAAATAGTGAAAAATGGACGTGAAAGAGTCCAAAATGACATCTTCACATTTTTGGTTTTGATCCAAAACCAAAAGATATTTAATTTACAATAAATAAATGAATGAATAAAGCTGGAACCAGATTTTTTTTTGGCAACTTAACTTCACAAAAATATCAGTTAAATACCTTAACGAGTAGTTCATTATCAAAATCAGTGAATCGACAAATAGTTTCAGCTCTAAATTTACTAATCTCATTGCCTCATATCTCTTTTATATTATCTTACCTTACTGAAGTATTCATGCAAATACCTTCAATTAAACCCTTCATAACCTAACAAAGAATTTGTGTTTTTACTTGTCAAATAATTGGAAATCACTGGTTAAGTTTGGATCTTTATGTAAACCCAATGAGGTAAATAAAGTTTCCTACATTGAGCACAGAATAACCCTATTTATTTGTGACTCCTGAACATTTCAGTGTATTAAAAAAGCAGCAAACTAAGGGACACAGCTGTATCTAGATAGTTTAGTCTCATTTGGAAAGACTGATGTCAAAAACAGAGTTCTGCTGAATAAACCTTCAGTAACATCGTCACTTTCTTACCAAACATTTTATTGATGCCTGTGGAGGGACCCCAATCTGAGAGGGTATATTTTCAAAACTTTGATATTCAAATATTTCTTGTGGACTGTAAACACCTGCAAGAATAGGGATGGGAAGTGAGAACCAGCTCCAGTTGAAAAAGAGTTGTCTGATCCATGGGAATCACATACCTCCAAGCTTATCAATTCCTCTTATCCGTGCAGGCATGTTTTTTTAACAGTTGCACAACAGTAATGTCAAACTCATGCGTCTATGCTGCTGGAAACTTGCAACAACAAGGAGTCATGGTGGAGAGGAAGAAACGGTCCAAATGTGGCTTCATTTCACTGAGAAATATGACAGCAGTGTTGCATGTAATGTCTCTAAAATGATCATTTCAAGGGTTTCTACTCAACGTGGGTGTAAATTCCAGGAATACCATGAATTTGTCACTCTACACATGAGTGTCACCGCTTCCCAACCAGGCAGCACGTCTGTTACAGAGGGGAAATATCTTGTTGTAACAACATTAGCACCACACAGGGAGGTTTTGCAGATTTTTTCTTGGTGGTGGTTTGAGAGCGAAGCTTCTGCACACCTGAGTCACACGCGTGCCTTTTCTTTACTCTGTTTCCACACTGTGTTCAGACTTGGAGGTCATAAAGCGGTCGCGCTGACGCTGAAAATCTGTGTAGGCATAGTCTTTTTTCCCCACACTGTAAATTGATCAGGAATAAATAAGGGAATTGATAAAGAATCGGACTGATAAGCAGAACTGATAATGGCACTGGTATCAATTCCCATCACTATGCAAGAAGATTTTCTAAAACAAGAATTTCAGTCTTTAAACCTTGTGTCATTGATCTAATATAAAAACAGGCTAAAATAAACCACATTCATTTTGATTGAAAATAATTAATTCATCAGAGAGAAAAATCCTCTCCACAGGACGACCTGAGGAAAGTTTTAACCACCGACAGAGAATCGAAATTCAGTCTTGCTCCAAGAGAAAGACTGGTCAAAGTTTGAACCTTCTGGTTAAAGGATAAAGGAAAGCAGTGTTCTGCATTTTTCTTACTGTCAACAAAAATCCCATGAAAAGACCAAAACCAACAATAAATGTATTGTGTGTGTGTCTATGGCCTGACATATCTTGTTCCTCTGTGTCATCGAGCTCCATCGTTGTCAAAAAGCTGTTGAAATCTTATCAGTGAGCCACACTGTTGCAGTGGTATCTCTTTTCCACTCTGGCTCTTAAACCGGTTTCATTCATGCCTCTTGGAACTTTGGTCTCGTGATCGAGTGCCTATTTCCATCAGGATGTAATCAAGGATGTGTCATCAACAGAAGGTGTTGCACAATGCACAATGGAAGTAAACAATAGTAGAAAACTGATAGATCAAGAATTTTTATTATTCTGTTATTAAAGATATTATTTTCCCCAAAAACCAAGCACAGACCACCAGATCTATGATTACTGTCATCAGACTCCACCCAGGTACACAGACTTATTTAATGGGATGTCAATAAGCCAATCACAGTGTTCCACATCTTCTAAAGTGGACTGCAGTAAAGCCACGGCCCCTTTTTTAACAACCGTGAGGTGATCACTTGTGTTTAGGGCTGCCACTAACGATTATTTTCATTGTCGACTAATCTGTCGATTATTTCTTCGATTAGTCGACTAATCATTTCATCGAAAAATGTGTTAAAATGTTGAAAAATGTCGGTCTGTCTTGCCCAAACCCCAAAATTACGTCATCTAATGTCTTGTTTCATACTCACACCAAAGGGTTTTAGTTCACTGTCAGAGGAGAGTGTGTAAAGCTGCCAATATTTCAACGTAAAAAACTGTAGTAAGAGTACGTTGGGGTACTTTTATAGTACTTTTCTATGAAAAATGACTCAAACCGATTAGTCGACTACTAAAATAGTCACCAATTATTTTAATAGTCGATTAGTCATCGATTAGTCGACTAATCGTGGCAGCCCTACGTGTGTTTAAACTGTGTTTAACGTAAACAAGAGACGTTATAGTACGTGTACATGTCAAATAATCATATGAAAGATTTGAAGTTTTTACTCAGGATTTTTTGAAAAATATCCGAACGGACGAGGGATCTAAGTGTTGCAGGAAAATGAAACACAGTTCGAATAAGGAAATACAGCTCTGATTTGATTGAGTTCTCAATCTCAACCCAGGCTCGACGGGCCCCAGAAAGCATGACGGGTTTGAACAAAGTTGGGCCAAAAATGTGCACTGATTGGCCGGGTCAGGTACGGCTCAAGCTGTGGAAAAAAAATAGATATTTAAAAAAAGCTCCATGCCAGGCTCTCTGTCCTTCCTCCTGGCTGGAGCAGGAAGCTTCTCTGGCAGGACAGTGGGGAGAGCCGGTGATCAGGTCCATTTTCTGTTGGAGACACGTGTCTTGTGTTGTCACACAGTCGGCTTAGGAGCCGACTAGGGGTGGGGTCGGGCTTGGTCCTAGTATCTTATGTGATGATGTCTGACAGGCCAGGTCTGGGCTTTAAACTCAAACAGGTCGGTCCAGTTCAGGTTGTAAATTTTTCTGGAGCTTTGACAACTGTAATTACACTACTATTTGGTACTGGGTTGTTTCACTCAATACCTTAAGTTATCAGGTCCCGACCAGCCCTAGTAAACCAGTGTGTCTGTGTATGGGTGCGACAGAGAAGAGAAGTTTGAAAGAGTAAAAAACACAAACACATTGTTTGTTTTGGTCTTTTCATGGGATGTGCTGAAAAAGAAAAATGATGGCCGGCATCGTCAAAAGCACAGGCACTCTATCATTTAAAAAAACGTCCATGCACACATGCATAACTCTGAGTATGATAGACCTGGTTATTAGAAAAGCTCAAGGCCGATGAGATGTTAATGTCCCTGTGTCAGGGCTAACCGCGACCGAGGCCATGAGGGAAGCAACTTGTGATAAATCTGGTGATTTGCATAATGTTTGCACGCTGTGCTTCCTTCAGTATATTCTGTGTCTGTGCATCATTATTAAACCCAGTGGAGGGAAAAGCACATCACTCAGTCCTGCTGGAGGACTGGGACTGCCAGCATTACCCTAGTGTCCTCTAAATCCCTCTGGAGTTTTTCAGCTTTGGTCTTTTCAAAGAGCAGGCTCTGCTCAAGCTCCTTTATGTGGGCATGCTCCAGTCTGGTCTGCGTCTGTTAGTAAGAGAGAGCAGGAAGAAGAGGAGAACAAACACCAATGCACTGACATGCCGGCTTTGTAGGCCACGAACAGAGAGAAGATAAGACTTTAAAGAGAAGGCCAGTCAGTAAGAAAAGCACTGATCAGTCACATCAGTTGGTTGCAAACAAAAGTAGATATTGTTATTCACTCTTTCTGCTCTGAATATCAGGAGTTAATTATTTCAATCATCTCATTCTGACTCTCAGATTCCTCACTTTTATTTCTCTTCTCGTCACACTTGTTTGCTCGTATTCCAGCACTTGAACTCTAATTTTCTCTGACGGGTGAAGAAGATGCAGACAAGAGAGGAAGATGAAAGCACTGAAGGTGAGGGCAAAAACAGCTTTCAAGAACAGGCATGTGGATGAAACGATGCGGAGAGGATGGCTGTGTAAGTGCTGCGGAGGGGTGAAAAAATCTGAGAGAAAAGGTTGAGTGAATTAAGCGCGAATGAATAAATAAAAGGAGCGGGAAGAAAGATGCGTCGGAACAAGGAAGCAAATGAATGATTCAAAGAGCGAAGGAAAAGGAAAAACCTGAGACAGAATGATTGACTGAATCATCAGCTCGTATTTATTCTTTGGAGGAAAATGCAAAGCAGTAGTTTCACACTTTAAAGTCACTTAACAGAATAAAGAACTGAGTGAGAATGTGAAATAAGTTAATCAACTATACACCAAGTTTGTCAATAATTCACACATGAATTTGAGAAAAATAAATCCAGTCTGACAAGTGAAAGATACTGAAGATATCTGGAGTGAGTGAGAGAAATGTTTAATTAAGAAGAAGATTATATAACCAAAAGTTACCTCCAGGTCTCCTCTGGTGATGCAGGCCTCCTCCACACTGAACTGCAGATCTTCCACTTTTCTGTCAAACAGGGACAAATATAAAATATTCTCCAACTGGACACATGAAGACCTTTGCGTACTTTTTGTCTAAAACTGTTGCACGGGGAACAGGTTTGATTTTCTGTGTCTCTTCACACCCGTAAAGAGCCTTTATAAGACTCTAATAAAGAGTTGTTAACAAAAACGTGGTGGAACCTGCAGGACACAAATATCGCAACAAAAGAGGGGAACAGGGTGCGCAGAATCATTTCATAACTCTGATTTCAACGGCTCAGACCGTGATATACAGGTGGATGATGATGACAAGGAGGAGGATGTAATAAAGGATGAAGACCATACACAGACAGAGAGAGACTGAGAGAGGACAGCAGTGTCGAGACGAGGGATGCTAACAATAAATCCATGATCGATTGACCTTTCACTAAGCCATGCCCCTTAACAACATTCATCTGCACACACTGTGATATATCAGTTCAATATCAGTTTCCCTGCTTCCCTTCACTGGTTCCTGTACAGCAGGGTCAGTCTTTGTTTCACTGTTATAATCATTACAAAGCAAAAGCAGCATGTGTATACATTCAGTAGGCTATATCTTCAGTAGCTAGCTAGCTAACCCGACACTTTTCAGGGTCTGATTTTGGTTTTGGAACAGGGAAGAAACGTATATCTTTTTCCAACCTCTCCAGGTAACGAGTATCATTAATACACAACGTGCCCCAGGCACAACATTTAGCTCCACATCCACAAAACCAGCCTGAAAATGAAGGAAATCTGAAACGACTGCATTAGAGTCAATGGAGCACAGCTGTGTTGCTGTCGGACTCTTGTCTGAGCTATTCGATGCTATGCTATGATTGGCTGGTCTGCGTTCGAAGGTAGGGACTTTACAAAGGATCAACTGGTCGTCAAGAATTTGATCGGACATGTGAATCTCAATTGAACAAATGCTCTGATTCCGAAATATAAACAATGCTAAGTCTCCGATTTAATTCTACATATCAGTAGAATTGTGCATTTTGAAAGTGTGTTTCAATGACTAGCATTAGCAAACAAAGGGCACAGTGTAACTATGATATGACAAGGCGGCCATTTCAGGGTCTCAAAGAAAAGTGTGGCGGCAACACCAGAAAACGACGCAGGCAAGGCGAAGCATTTTTCAGTTAAGTTCAATGTGTTTCAAATGTCTTGGCCTGTATGTCTTTATATGTTTCATAGGCTGCAATGCTGTCAGAGAATATTCAACATGTCTCTGTGAGCTTTGATTGAGAAAACAGAACTTGTTTGTTATTGTTTGGTCTGAACAAAGTTTTAATGTTCTTTTTAAATCACAATCAATCACATTACTGATAGTTTATTGTCACCTATAATCAGTTAAGGAAAGTGCTGACAATTTGCAACCCTCGTCGAGACAGTCAAAGAGGACAGCTCAGCCTTTTCAATTAGCTGCAGTGCCAAATGTAAGGCGCTGGCAGAGAGTGGTGACAGCCAGGGAGGAACCTCCAGTGGAGAAGCAAAATAAGAAATGTGTCTTTCCATTTGTCTAGTGTTGCAAATATTCACAACAGATAGAATAACAAAATACATCGTACTCAGCGTGCAAGGTCAGTTGATGGATTAAAATCACGCATACATAGAAATACGGACTTGGTGTGCAAATACCTGTTGTCTGCTGCCCTGTCATGTGCAGTTCATAGGTGGAGTCAGACTTACCTCTTCTCCTCCTCCAGCTGGTTGAGCAGCTCCACTTTCTCTCGATCTGCTGCCTCCACCAGTGAACGCAGCTGGTCCAACTTTGCCTCCATCTCCATTGCATACTACAAACACACAGAATGAAGAACACTCAGCATGAGCTGACTCAGTGAATGCACACAAACAAATTGGTTTAAGCAGTTCTCCTGATTTAGACCAGGCACCAGGGTGAGGTGACTGAGGGGGCTGTTAAAACTTGTGAGGGGGTAATTATTTTCATAACATAAAACTCATTGATTTCACCAGGATATAGCCTCAGCAAGGCTGAATAACAGCAGCACAAGACTACTGTTTCAAATACATTTATTAATCAGAGCAGTCTAGTAGAGCATTAAATATATTTTGAATTTACTAACAATTCTCAGAATCAAAATCAGCAGGGGGAGGCGCATAGAAACAGCTGTTTGCAGCTTACTCTCTGTGGATTGCTATAACTGAGCGGGGTAAATGGAACTAGGGACGAAAGTTGTATTTCGAACAACAAAAAACAAGCAGGCTAAGAAACTGAACAAAGTGATATGTTCTGTCTGTCTGTCTATAGCCCTGTTTCCACCAAGCAGTATGGTACAGTTCTGTTCGCTACATTTTTTTCTGTCTCCACAGTGTAAAGTTGTGGATGGTCCCAACAGAAGCATTCCTTAGCGTCCCCATGTTTGGTCCCCCCTCTGTTGGGGTACCTAGCACACAGATCTGGTACTAAAAGGTGGAGCTAGAAACCCTGCAGTCTGATTGGTCAGTAGAGGACGCTCACTCTGGTTTTATGTAACCTCTGTTCATACATCAGTAAACTACAACTATAAAATGAAAGAGAAAAAATAACTTTATTCACTGGGCCGACTGCCGGCAACTTTTAAGGTGGAACGTTAACTTGTAATGTTACTCAATGCATGAGTTGATGACGTGAATCCATCAGCACACCTTAAATTTCACTGTGACAACTTTGAGCATCACTTTAGTTTTTATATGACACAAACTTTTAGTAATGACTTTAAAAATATAGATTAATTTGGAGCAGATTATGTGAAGGTCATATATTCTAATCCTCACTTCCTGTGGGCTACAGCAACACTAAACCCCTGAGCTTGCCTGAGAAGGACTAAATGCACAAAGCTGCTATTTTTAAATATCCCATGGAGAGAGACTCTCACTGCAGCCTGTTCTATTTTGTTGTGAAAATGTGGGCGTGCAGCCTCGTTCTGTGGACGATAAACCAGGTGCAGACTTCCATCTGTGTCACCGCTGATGAGGAAATACAGCGAGTGCTGGACGGAGCAGTGAGTGACAACAACCCCGCCCACATTTAAGAGGACTGTCTGAACACACCGAGGGTCTAGGTACCATGTCTGAAGGTACTGTACTGAAAGTGTTTGGTGGAAACAGGGCTTATCTGTCTTTCCTATGCTCTGTTTCAGTGTTGTGGACAGCACCGCACCCACACACAAATAACAGTGCTGTCCATGGTTCTGAAACAACAGCTAGGTGACTGTCACATTCATCTCCACTACTAGAGTTTTTCTTTTTTTCAAATTCTCTAGAGAAACGTGAAACTTAAAAGAGAGGGCAAAAAATATACGTCATTCCTGATAAATGAGTTGTGTTGGACAAACAAAAAAAGGCCTGGATGAAAATGCGAAATTACTTCATATTCATTTATCTGTTGTCTCATTTTACGTGTGCATGTATCTGACCTGATCCCGTCCTTTCCTCAGCAGAACCATCTCCTGCTGCACCTCCCCTGCGTGGCTGGTTGCCTTCGCCACCTCACATCTCTCCAGGTCTCTCTCCGCGAGCAGCTGCTCGATGTGCTGCTGCTTCTCCTTCAGAGCCTCCTGCAGCGCTGTGGTGCCAGAGATCTTACGAGCGTACCGAGCAGATGTCTCCGTCAGCTGGAAGGAGGAGAAGGATACAGTGACTTAAACATTTACATGTTATCTGATACTGTCTTCCAGACCAAAGTGCAACCTGGTGTTTAAACTGTGTCAGAGGCTCCTTGAAATTTTCGATACGCAGTCCCACCATGGAGAATTTACTAACTGCAATGACTTCTTTCAAGTCAAGAGAAAAATTCAAAAACAGTTGGATAACAGCAGTGTGAGTCTCACCAGTCCTGCCCGGCTGGGTTTGCCGCTGATGGAGGAGGTGGCAGAGCTAAGTGTGCTGACAGAGGAAGCGCTCGGGCTCCTCTTGAGCGTGGACTTCCTCCGTGAGCTCTTCGACTTGGTCGGCGTGGTGCAGGGAAAGCCGATACGTGTCACCTTGTGCGTTGGAGCAAACAGACCGTACCTGGGCATGCACTGAAAGTATCTGAGAGGAAGAAACTGGAGCTTTAGGAACATTTTCTTCGCAGGTTATAGCATGATTGTGTTAAAACAAATGTTAAACATGTGTCCTCTGTCAGTGGTCTTTACCTGGTGCCTGCGACAGCTCCATCATTCTTGCCAAGCGGTTCATCCAGCTCCACTCCACACCACTCCCCCTTGGCAAAGTCTGTCTCTCCCAGAAACCGCACCACTCCTGCCTTGTTACCACCAACCTACACACAAAAACCAAATGATTAATCATGTTCTTCAGTCCTCTATTTAACGTTAAAGTCGTCACTCTGTGGATACGGTGTCTCACGCTCCACTCCAACAGTTTTTTGCTTTAACTTATCATAATTAAGTAAATGCTGACTACACAACATAATGGCTATAGAATAAAGACCCCATCTGTGTTTAGATTGGTTCCCTGTAAGCCTCATTTTCACTATGCAACTCTCTCTGCCACCTGGTAAAATCTCCTGGGAAATTAAACACTTAATATCCAGCACAAAGGAAGTGCATTAACCATTGCAGAGAGGATAGCGCCTTTGTTTTTCTCCCCGGTAGCTGACGGTAGTTGTCCCCAGCTACTGAAGAGCATCACTGTAAGTTCTTTGCAGTTACTGTCCCCAGTAGCAGAAATGGCAGACAGTGGAACAACCAAAGTAATTGTGGAGGACAAAGTGCACTCTGTGTTGTTGGGGGTTGCCAGGCTCTGAGAAAAAAAAAAAGTGATGTGGTTGTCTTTGCAACCGCGGCGCCAACAATAATACCACGTGGAATGTATATGGAATGATATTATAACAAATTGTACCAGTAAAATAAATTCTTGTTGACCTCCACGAACACTTGGGCCAGTTTGGAATTAGGCCTGCCACTATGACTTATTTTGTTGATGATACTTAGTCTTATAAAATGTGACATGGAACACAGGCCCCAAAAATGACTTTAACATAATCATTCATTCAGAGTACATTAGGTGATTTCTCATCGTGCTTCTTACCAGCACACGGTCTCCGAGCCTCAGCTCCCTCCTCTTCTTCATTGACTCTGTGTCTGAGATGTTAGACACTGACTCGCTGGACGTGAGCATTCGGTTAAGTGCAGTCTTTATGCCAGTCCCTTGAGCTGAACAAAGAAAAACACCTTCACTCTTCTGATAAACACACAGTTCATACTCCTGTTTTCACTGATGTATTAGGATGTTACCAGTTGAGGTATTGCCAGCAGGTGCAGGCTCGCTCGGTGCAGAGGCTGCTGGCGCCGGACTGGCCTGCCTCCCGTTGGCCTCCTTCTCTGGCAGTGCAGTCTTGGATAGCTTTGACGGCCGTGTGAATATCCCCCTCCCGTCCTCACACTGGAAGTACCGGACCCCTGCCACAGACCCGTCGTTCTTCCCGATGGCCTCGTCCAGCACAATCCCAGCCCACTGCCCGGGAGCAAACTGCGTGCCGCCGATGAACTGCACGTAGCCGGGCTTGTTGCCGTTGACCCAGACCCTGTCCCCGACCTGGAAGTCTGCCGCTCCATCCTGGGTTGGGGAGGTCACAGTGCCAGGGGACTTCTCTGGAGGAACTGGCTTTGAAGCACCTGCAGTCAGAAGTGCAGTAGACAGCAAAAACAAGTGCTGCGTTCACATTTTTGTTCAGTGTGAATAAGTTTATAGGGTGCTTAATCACTTAAAAGATAAGCACTGTTTTCTCTCCCATGACATGGAGGTCAGAGGATCACATCCACATCTCTCTGGTGTGCTCTCCAACAGTTGCTGGCTGATTAAAGGATGGACTTTGTAATCTGATTGACACCCTGCTGTGGTTTAGAGCGGCCTAAGGCCCCGATCAGACAGTGTGCTTTTTAGCAGGCAAGCAGACGGACTGTCGTCCTTGTTTTCAATGAGAGTGAAGCTTTTTGCTCTCTGACTCTGCATTCCTGTGCGCCTCCTGTTTTTCCACTCTATGCACCTCGTGTTTTTGCAGGAGCGCCCTCATCACAACAAGTTGTGATGACTTTAAGTCAGAGCAGAGAAGCACCCGACATCATTTGTGGGGGTTATTTCATTGTCTAATTTTATAAAATGAGAAGACAGGTGATTAGGTGGCTGCAGTGCGGTATGCCTCATCTGTTGCAACCTGCAAAAAGTGCTCTGTCTGATCGGGCCTTAAATCAGGGTTCTTACACTTATTCTTAAGTCAAATCTAAGCACTTTTCAAGCATTTTCAAGGTGCATTTCCAAGCTTTTCCAGCACCTTACAGCTGTGGTAAATTGCATATTTAAATACAGTACATACTATATACATCACTGCTTCCCAACCCATACTAGAACTCCCCAAAACTTCACAGGAGTCCTGAAACCTTCTTGATTTTATGGGATGTGCAAAAACTGTCCTCAAAAATAATCAGTAGCCCTATATCTCAGCATTTCACTAATTTCTGTTAAGAAAACTATTTTGTGTTCTCTGTCTTCACTGTGCTATGATACACCAGTGATGCTGGGATTTATCAGATCAGTCAAATCAGCTGAAGTTGCAGCACTGTGCTGTCAAATCAATATCTGATATCCAATTTGGGGGGGGGGGGGGGGGGGGG